TACTAATTGTTTAGTTGATTCATATAACAGTTTGTTAGTTGATAACTAGTTAACAACTGATGATTAACTGTAATCGAACTGTTGATAATAAATCGATCGATTAATTTTTTAAAAATTTTCTCAAATCGGTTAGTTGGAAAGTTGTCAACTATCCAATTTTTCAACCAACGATTTGGTACACTAGTTACGCAAATCAGTGTGGTATGGATGGCCATATTCGTATGGTATAGTGGTGTAAAATGCCTTATTTTAATCTGTACCATACTGATTCGGTACTGCATATTGTTAGAGTTAGCGTAATTATAGCAGATTAGTATGGTATTGTTTTTAAATCATACCGATTTTCGTAATCTCATCCTTCGAACTTTTAATAGTATTTCTATTCTCCTAGTTTAAAAAAGTATAAATCCAATGTAGTAAAGAAAAAAAAATCGAAGAGTGAGACTATACTATCATAGTTAAAGAAACAAGTTATTGCTGCAGGTGCAAAGTGTCGTGTAATCCGGAAGAGTTTGGTGACTTAAATTGAATCATGACATGTAAAATATTGTCAAGACTTTCATTGAAAAAAAAAAATAATTTTGCGTATGCATAAAAATTAGAAATAATGGAACTTTTTAAAAGTGATTAATTAATCTTATTGAATTTATTCCTCAATATCATTTACGCTAGCATGTTGTTAAGGATTATTGTATATAAATATTGTAGATTTGGCATGGGACCTCCGTTGCGGTCAGTTCTTTTCTTATTTCGCTTATATTTATAATAATATAATAATCCACCTGCTATAGCAAGAACAAACAATAATGCAAAAAATATTGCGGCTATTCCTCCTCCATCTAAGCCTTTAGAAGGAGAACTATTACTACTGTTATCATTAGAACCAGGTACTTGAGACACTTGAGTAGAATGACTACCAGTAGGAGAGATATTTGTTTCATCGCTAGGGTTATAGCCGATGCCATTGGTCCCCCTGTTGCGACTAAAGTAGAAATTGGTACGGAAGATGGTTGAGGCAATATAATATTATC